CGGGGTTGAATTTCAGGCTCTACCAATAAATCATTCCATCAGTTTTCTTCCTGTTTTCACTGTAGGTGTCTATACGGTAAACACAGAGGCTGCTGTTTTGCTGCTCTCTCTCTCAGCCATAGCCCCAGGTAGGCATGAGGAGGAACAGAAGAAAACCAGAAAATCACAAGCTTTCATCTGATCATCAATCAGCCACTCTGATTCTAAATCTGGAAAAACTACAGTCGAGATGTTTTGAAGGCAGACTGGAAGTGCGTTACGGCGGTTTGTTGGTTTCAGGCCGTCATCGTCTAAAAATAGGATAAAACAAGCAGCTCACGTTGTCATTGTTTCAGTGCTTCCTATAATCCTGGAAACAACAGAATCCCTCTGAGTGAAACCACCAGAATAAACAAAGGAAAAACCATTATGTGCAATTTTTTGGAATTTTTGTCAGATTTTAGATGATTAATTTGAAAATGCAGCATTTCTGATGTTAGGTAACTCTTTGTCTTTACTTGTACAAAATGTTCTTAAGTCTTTTGTGGGATGAATCAGCGCTCCACATATCACACTGACAGACCACTTCTACTGCAGCAAGAGCAGACAGCTTCCCTATTTCCTATTACCTGCTCAGGGTCTGAACTCTACCTGCTTCGCCTTTCATCTAAACGCCAACAGACTATTTGACATTTCTACACACACAAAGCACATTTCACCCGCAGTTATTTTCTTTTGTTGAGGTTTTACAAGCTTGCAAACTTTTTTTTTCCTTGTAGCTCCGCCCAGTCAGAGCGCCGGCTGTGCAACGCTGTGCTTAATGAATAAATAGACCCTGCAAAAGAAGCCCTTTGATGGCGCATTGGTGGTAAACTTTAAATCGAGCGCTATTTCCCCGTAAATCCCAACAATTGTTGCAAGTCACCAATTTTTAAAAGTTTCAGCTGAGCAGGAAAACGAAGCTGTAAACCTAAATTGCTGCGTCTGACAGAATAAATCACATTTAAACGATGCAGCGTTGTTGTTTTGTAGCGAGCATATTTCATACAAAACCAACTCTGCACTACATCATGTTTGAGACGAGCTCGTACCGTCGCTCTGAACCAGATGCTGCTGTGAGTGTGTGGCCCTTTGCAGACGGGGGATCGTTGAGTTTTCTGGCTCGTCAGTCTCTTGTCGCTGTTACGTCAGTTCTCCTCATTGCTTCATACAGACGTATATCCACGAAAGTGACGCAAAGAGACACGGTGTGCACGTAATATATGTCAAAGGCATGAGATCAGACCGTACAGTAAGAGTCAAGGAGTGACCAATAAGCAAAAGACTATAAGCTAAGAGCCAGCTCGTCAAGCTGTCCAAATAACCTATAATAGCTCAAAATCAATAGTATTTACTGATGGTACCACAAAGACGACTGAAGTGCCTGTCAGGAAGGGGTTTATGCTGCATTCTGCTCATGGATGTCGTAGAGTCGTTCCTACTGCATGTATGAGGAGCCTGAAAGCACTTATCGGCTAATTAGTTATTAGACTCCAGACACAAAGAGGTGTTTGGGGTTTGTGATGTTCAGATTATTTTCTAGCCGCTCCTTTTCCAGTGTCTGAACAGGATACGTGCTGTTAGGCCAGCGGGCATCGTGTCTAGGTTGTAGTTACACGGTGTGGCCACTACGTCGCCCAGCGCCGCTCCTCACAGACCGACTTGGCTGCAGTCTAGAGTTCAGATATGGAAGCCAGACAGGCTGTGAGCTGATGAGCAGCGACTCTGAAGACGCCACCGTCTCAGTGAGAATATTTCCACGTGCAGCAGGAAGATGTTTCGTCTTCTTAAACTACTTCCCTCTCACACACATCTACAGATATTTTGTTTGCTGTCGTCCATAACCCCCAAGAACAATTTCAGATTTTTTCCCGTGCAGTTGCATATCTAGCTGTAGTTAGAACTAACACTCTCCAGCAGCTTCTGGTTGCTCTACCGTTCTTTGAAATGCCTGAGCCTGCTGTGAGCGCACCATCAAACAGTAGCAATGTGGATGCAATTATGACTCCTGGGTCAGTTTGTCTCTTTAAGGTTTAAGTGGGTTGGAGCGTTTCATGATTACAGACCTTGCTGTGTGTTTAAGGCCAGCACGTTTGTGATTCTGGGGTTGCCGCTGCCCCTATGTAAAAAACTGAAGCAGAAGCTGCAATCTGAACTCAGTGCAAGTGCTGTCTGAGCTATTACAGTGTTGTTTACTATGAAGCCGTGCAGCCCCTCGTGTCTCCTCACCGCTGATCACAGCTTCTTCAAACTTTCCTTTCAACACTCTCAACAACAGTGGAGCTGTGTTTATCCAAAAAGCACGCGTCCAAGTCACTTTCTATTATCCTGACATGCAACGATGCAAAGGCTGGAGATATTCTGCATTCTTTTGCAAAATTGTTATAATAAACCACTGAGATGCTTTTCAAGCTGCAGCGTCCGTGGCTCTAACGTTTCATTTTCTCAAATGCTCTGCATCACCGGCAGGTCGGATGCCTGACGGGAGGACGAACACGTGTCCAAACAGAAACGCACATTTACTGTAGACTGCAGAGGTTTGTCTAAATAAGTAAGAACACATCAGTCACACATTCAGGACGCATCGTCTCTCCCGCTTCACTGGTTTTGTTACACTGACCAGCTATTTTTATTGTTATTATTTTATTCTATTAATCCTTTTGACGGTATGAGGGATCACTTCAGCTGTGCCTTTGTGGAAAACAGGACTGTTTCCTTTTGCTTTGCATTTCACATGTTCATTGTGGACAGATGAGTCAAGTGTCGCTCCTTTCCTCGGTAAACCCACACAGCGCAGCATGATACATCACGTCACGCAAACAACAAACGCTTTGGGCTGTTTGGCAGAAACAGAACGAAAAGGCAGGAAATCCAAAGTTTGACGCTGGTCCTATTGGCTGAAGCTGAGTTGAGTAAAGCGTGGTTAATGGGATTGTCACCAGAAAGGTCTCTCCCTGATGTAGATGTTTGTGCTTCTGGTCCTACACCAAGCCTTGTTCACATGTTCATATGTAATTTTTTTAGAAGTTAGAAGACTTTTCATGAGTGAAATAAACAAAGGTGTGGCTGAGAATTTGCATCTTTGAACTAACAACAATCTCACAAACAGGTCAAACACAGAACAGACCAGAAGAATCCCGTCTGCTCTCAGGGTTTGGATCATTTTTCTTCTTCAATATCGGTTTCCAGCTGGAGCACATTTGGCTGAATTACTCCTAAATTACAACTTTGTGTTGTGTTCATAGTGTTTTAGCAGAGCCCCAGACGAGCTGGTGTGCTCGAGCTGCCATGAGTGGGGGGGGTGTACTATGTGGATTGCATGCTAGAGGAAGCAAGAGTGTAGAGCAGGGATCTCCAGCTCCGGTCCTGGTGAGCTCCTGTCCTGCAGGTTTTAGATGTTTCTGTGCTGCAGCAGACCTGAGTCACATGAATGGATCTCCAGCAGCTTCTTGTCAAGTTCTGCACAAGCCTGTTGATGATCCATTCATGTGATTATTCAGGTGTGCTGCAGGACAGGAGCTCACCAGGACCGGAGCTGGAGATCCCTGGTGTGGAGCCACATTTAAGCCGTTTTAAGGTCGGAGGAGAGCATGTAGACGGAACAAGAACTTCCACATGTGTAGCTCTGATGAGGTTTTGGGGGTAAATAAACAGCTGGAGAGGAACTTAATGGATGCGACGCTAATTAATAATAGAGAAGTTTTGACTGATTTCGAAACAGGGAGCAGAATCTTTTTCAGAGAGTTTCTCACGGGAAAATTTCCGCAGACACGCACGTATCACCGTGTACATAAAACTATAAAAACACACACACAAAAACAACTGGTTGTCCCCGTCGGTCATACCTGTACGTCTGCCAAGTTCCTCTCATTGTGCATGAAGCAAAAAACTATGTGGATGGGGTTCATATTTCTCCTGTGTGATAATGATTACCCTTATTGCAAGCATATGTGTTGAATGTCTTTAATTGTGCGAATGTCCAGCCCTGTGTGTGTGTGTGTGTGTGTGTGTGTGTGTGTGT